TCTATCAATGTTTGTACAGGAAGAAAAAAACAGTCTACAAAGATATATCTCAAAATGGGGAGTTGGACAAAGGAAAAATATAAAATGAACTTTCTCCTAGTTTTCTTCCATAGTAGGAATTTTTCAAAAGGAACACTGTATTTTGTAGAAATAAAAATAAAAAGAAAGAAAACATAGATCTATAAACACCAACACAAGAAGATGTCCACCACATATTGCTAAGTAAAAAAAAAGCAAGTTGTAGATAATATGCAATGAATAAATCATCTTTTGCAAGAAAAGAAAAGGATGCCTCTGTACATGCACAGAAGTGTCCATATGTTTGCCAAAAAAGTGTGTGGATAAAAACAAACTGTTCAAGATGGTTGCCTCTGGAGACAGAAATTCCACTATGATGTGTGTATATTACTTTGCAGGAAAACACTTTATTGATTAATTGATTGATGATTAAGACAAGGCCTTGCTCTGTTGCCCAGGCTGGAGTGCAGTGGGGGAATCTTGCTTCACTGCAATCTTCGCCTCCTGGGCTCAAGCAATCCTCTCACCTTAGCCTCCCGAGTAGCCAGAATTACAGGTGTGCGCCACCATGCCCTGCTAATTTTTGTATTTTTGTAGAGACAGGGTTTTGCCATGTTGCCCAGGCTGGTCTCCAACTCCTGAGCTCAAGTGATTCACCTGCTTTGGCCTCCAAACTTGCTGGGATTACAGGCATCAGTCACCACACTCAGCCAGGAAAACATTTAAACATCCACTTTCCCCATCAGTTAACCCCCAGACAAAATGAGATGTGTGAGTGTGTGACCGGCAAGCCATGTCCCTGGGTTTCCAAGGCAATTGGTGCACTTGGGGTAGGGGAAACGGAGAACTTACCACCCCAGTGAAAAGCTCCAGCCCGGTGAACTGGAGGGTGTTCTTTTCCGCTACGGTAAACTGAGGGATGATGATGAAACTGAAGTTCACGATGAATGAGAAAATGTTGAACTTCAAAAGCCATCTCAGAAAGTTGAAATAGGAGAGGACGCTGGTTCCAAACTTGCCTCCAATGATCTTCAGCGTCTTCTGCCACAGGCTGATGGAATTGAGAATTTCCGACAGGCTGTTCTTGGATCTCCGATAAGCCTGGAGTCAGGATTCAAAGCAGGTGGCTTGCTGTTGACTCAACAAATATTGACTGAGCAGGTACCATAATAACAAAAAAGGCCACCATGTCTGGAGTATTGTTAAGCGCAGGCACCGTGCTAGGCATGTTTACAAACATTATGTCACCTCTAAGGTGGGGGTATTATGACCTTCCCAGGTTTGCTGTTGAAGACACCACTCCCAATGGCCAAGTTGGCCAATGAACTCAGCAACCTCTTAGTTCTTCCCCACACCTACCTCGTTTTCCCACACCTGTGCTAACCAATGGCTCTGGGCAATGAAATCGCTCTGATTTTTGGTTGTCTTCCCCCGAGTCCCCTTCATCCTCACTCTCCTCCCTCCCTGTTTTCACCGTCTTGCTGTGCCTGTTTTACTGACTTACCCGTGAAATGGAGTTCAGACACTGAACACAGCAATTGAGCTGAAGGATACGATGGGTCTGTTTGCTTTTTTCTTTGTCAACTATTTTCCTGTAGGGAACAGCAAGAGAATATGAGAGATACAAATGTTGTAACTCATTCAAAAAATAGTTACATGGTGGCTCATGCCTGTAATCCCAACACTTCGGAAGGCTGAGGCAAGAGGATCACTGAGGCCAGGAGTTCAAGACCAGCCTGAGCAAAACAGTGGGACCTTGTCTCTATTAAAAAAAAATTAACAAAAAATAGCTGGATGTGGTGGTGGTGCCTGCCTGTATAGTCCCAGCTACTCCAGAGGCTGTGGTGGGAGGATTACTTGGGTCCCAAAGTTTGAGACTGCAGTGAGCTATGATCACACCATTGCAGTCCAGCCTGGGCAACTGAACGAGACCTCATTTCTTTCTTTCTTTCTTTTTTTTTTTTTTTTTTTTTTTTGAGACGGAGTCTCACTCTGTCACCCGGGCTGGAGTGCAGTGGTACAATTTCAGCTCACAGCA